ACACTAGAAGCTTTTGGGACCCCTGGTATTATTTTGAGGTGCAATCACTAAAAAGGCTGTGATAATGAAATGTTCCGATTGTATGCTTGGAAGCGACTGCGAGGCTGGCTTGTAAACACTGGCACCCACAGAACAAGTGAGGCGGGCTCGGGCCCGCATGTGGACGCGTCTCGAACAAATCGCGTTGAGCGAGTTTTTTTAGCGCTAGCCGAAGCAAAATTTTTGCTTTTTAAAATGTATCGCAGGCGGATTTAACGTTATGCGTTTGCTTTTCGTTAGGCGAGAGTCAACTGTATACATAAATGTGCACATGTAATGTAGTGTGATCTAAATGTAAGTAGAAGTAGCAAGACGTACCTGAAATCTTGCACGTTTATGGGGACAGAAAAAAGACACCAGCAATCCTTCCATCATGTAAAACAATTACAGGCTTTCGTTGAAACACTCACATGGCAGGATGGTAGTACCTCCCTGGGGTTGCTGTCTACCAACCTACTACTACTTATATTCAGTAATTTAAATTTTATGTGAATGTGCTTTTAATGTCAAACAAAGGACCCTGTTTGATAATAAAAGAATAATTCGTAATTATTTAGATAGTTGTTTCCTAGCAACACATTTTGTTTTTTTTAAAACTTCCTTAAAAACAGTTTTTGTTTCTTCTGTTGACTTCCGGGTGTATTTAACAATGGTTGATATTCTGCACTTGCTACAGATTAAGACCATTCACTGAATGCCACAGCACTTTGACCCAACACCATTTATGAAGGGATGTGTAGATTCCATGTGTGAATGTTTGAACAGCGACACCGAAGAAGACCCTGCCGGGTTTGCCAGCACTTACTCGTTTACATCGCCAGTTGCCTAGAGAAGAAACCCTAAGCTCCTGTCTTAATTGGCGTTTCATTGCTAAATGCTGTAAGTCTTCTTTTTTTTTAACACATTGGCCGTCTCTAAACCGAGGTAAGGTGACCCAAAAGAAACACTCTCACTATCATTTCACACTATGAATGTCTTGCCAGAGGCACGCAGATATGAAACAAATTTTTTATAAAGCCTCTTAAGGCTCAAACAATGACCTCGGACAAGTGAGACATGAGTTCATTTACCTGGCTTTGTTACTAGCTTAGTCTATAGATTCTTTTAGATATTTCATAAATAAATCACCCCCACTTTACTTAATCTAAAATACATATGTTAGCTTAGTTCATAAAGCCACAAATTTTTTACACTATTGTTTTTAGCTTATTTTATGTGAGCTTTTTGCATCCCCTCACAGTGATAAAAAGATGACCAATGGTGTAAAAAAAATATAAAATGAAGTACTGTAGGTTAACTCATCTCAAAATTATTTCATAACTAACCTGAAAACTGGTGTTAAATCTTAAGACATTGCTTCATCCTATCAAGAACTGTTATGACAGAGAGAAAAGAAGATGAATAAGTCAGATCATTTAAAATGTACATGTATTATGGATTAACAAGACTAGTAACCCTTGACCAGAGTCCACCATGTGGTTTACATTTCATTATGCTTATATCATAAATTTTTCATGATATAATCATCATAATAAAGCATGATGAAGAGCTGTTTTAAACAACAAGTAATCTGAAAAAGTGAATGTTCATCATACTCTCCTTAGGTCTTAACATAATAACAAATATGGGAAAAGTTAAAAGGGGAAACAGTTGAGTCATATTGTGTACGAGGATGATGACTATACTTTTTATTTTTCACATACAGATCATTTACTGAGGAGTAGTGTTAGTAGCCCCAAGACTTCACTTGATGGAAAATGTATGAATAATACAATAATAGGTTTTTGGGTGGGTAATTACTGAAATTATGAAGTCCAGCTCATGCCTATTTAGGCTTTGTGTGTTGATAAAATTTTAGTTTAGGGGATGCTACACTCTTGTTGGAGTGACATAAACTTATAATAATTTGGAAAACAGTTAAAATATTTTAGCAATGTTTGCTGAGAGGGAAATGTCTAGAAAAGGCATCCTTGCCAATTTTTTATTTTGAGGAAAAATTTTCACATATTTTAATTCCAGTGGTGGAGACATGTTTTGTTACTTGTTCGTATTCAGAGCCTTTAAGAAAACTTTCTGCTTACAATTATAAAATAAATCAAACAAAATCATTATAAACCTTCAAAATGAAAGAAAATGTAATAGTAAATGATGAAGTTTCTGGTCAGGAAATGAATAACCTTCTAATGTTTTTTTTATGTACACTGTTACCCTAAGTGCATTATGTAATCTGCAGATAAACAATGTGGACCAGGTGAGATTTATCAAGATTGTTAC